ATGCGCACAGTTTCGAAACCACTGTCTATAAAAAGGTCCGAGAAGAATTCATATTTTCCAAAGTGGGTTAAATGAAATTTAACACGTTTATCGTTCCAATTCGTAGCAGCTGATATCGGAAAACTCTCAAGAGTCTCTGGACACCTTGGACCTAGCTCTAACGAACGTGATCCAGAATCTCATAGAAATCAATGGATCGAACGCAGCATCGTCAAACTTCGAAAACTCGACCGGTGAAGCTACAGCCAAAGAAATGGTTTTAAAAAATGAGTCTGTATTAAATACTATTACCGAAGAGCCAAACGCGGGAGCCTGTAGCGTAGAAACACAGAATTCGGAGACGTTAAAAGCGACTAACGACAACTTGGACGAATGTGTCGAAGTGGCCGTCTCCGAGCACGAAGAGCTGTTACCGGTTGTCGTCGACGATTTCCAGAAGCCAGCGGAAGTGGACGGTGAGAAAGAAGAACTCCCAAGCTCGTCTGTGTCTCACGTCCCCACCGTAACTAGCCCAGCCAGCACGCAGCCTGTTTTCTCTATTGGACCCTTCCCCCCGTCTACCGCAACACCTTCGATCGTGAAAATTGTCCAGTTCAGCGAGCCTCTGATCGTTGGTCCGTCTAATCCGTTTTCTGCTCCAGTGTTTGGTGTGCCGATGTCGGACACAGACGATCATTTCGACGGCGTATCGTTTTCCTCCTCGCTCGACTCGTCCGCATTGGTCTCGCCATTTTGTCAGGAGAGCGAGCCGAAAAGCCTCGAGAAACGCGGCACCAGGTCTATGGAAAGCGTCATCGACTCGGACAGCGTTTCCGTGGACTCGTCCTCGAGCTTGGAAACTGTCAAAGAGTTCCCTGCCGTGGAACCAGCGTCGTCGTCTTCTCCAGTCGAAGCGGAAAAGAAGGAAAACATGGAGACACCGAAGAAAGAGGAAACTCCGAGGAAGTTGGAGACCAAGTCAGCTACGACGAAGACTAGAACGCCTGAAGAGGCTTTGGCAGCTAGGGAAGATAGGCTGAAGAGACTAGAGGAGCAGGCCAAATGGTTGATGAACAAAATGAATGCCACCAGCAGAAGAGGGTCTGCGTTGAGCACCAGGCTGGAAGAATTGCACGAGGCCTATGGGGAACCTCCTGTACCGCCACCTATGCCGGATGTACTTCCCAGCCAGAGGTTGCGGACTAATTTGGCGGATCTACCTCGACAGGTGAGATTACGTTAATTCATCACTGTTATGTTAGTTTCACGTATTGTACCCTGGATGTTATAATCGAGTTTTCATAATTTAACGCTAGGTTTATGGAACACTAAAAGCAATTATTTTATGTTACTTTGTGTAAAGATAACAATGATATATTTACTCGAATTTTTAGTGATTTTAATTGTAATGTTTGTACCGAGTAACAAATTTATTGAATAAGCAAATTGAAAAGTTTCTAATCCATCATTTTCACGGATCTCGTAAAGCTAGAGTTAAAAGTGTAGTGATAAAGTATTGTACAGGATGGTCAGTAACTGTAGGTACAATCGGGGGGGGGGGGGGNGGGGGGGGGGGGGGGGGGGGGTACTTTTTAGGAATAAGACGAAAGTGCAAAATACAACTTTTTGAAAAAATAATACTATTAAATAGAAATGAACTGGCGTATCTGATCATGATCTACTACATAATTCTATTTCTTAACATATAACAACTCATTTTTCTCGGGAAGGAAGCCTTAAATAAAAAAATGTTATTCTTTCCTTCCACTTATCCTTACATGTAGAATCTCTCCCCAGTTCTGGTTGTGCCACCAGTTGTTTACCACCCTGTATAACATGACTAAATACGATCGTAACAGGAGGTTGAGAATCCTTATGCAGAATATAATTTGTTTCATCAATTCCAGTAAAAAGAAACCAAATAGAAATTTTTGTTATTTATTAAACCATTTAATAATTTTACTAAGTCGACTTTAAGATATTAGTAAATTTAACTTTTTCTGATATTGTTAGGATGTTATGTCATAAACAGACAAAATGGCTAAAATATTTTTAGGTGAATAATTTATTATTTGAAAAATTCGTTATTTGTTCCAATCGATGTCTTGAATTTCGAACATAACATAGCAATCTGTTCGATACGATTGTGAATTACTTCTTGGCACATCTGACTCAAACCTTTGCCACAGGGAAGCTTAAAATACGACAATTACGTCACTTCATTCTTGATAAGAGTTTGATATATTGTCTCCTAAAGCCCCGTGAAACATTTTCAAGAATAACCAATTGTTAAATGTTTCGATATTTAGGTACCTGAATCATCGCCCACCGAAGCTACTGAAAATACTATGAAATCTGTCTCGGACAACAATTCCAACGAATCGTCGTCGAGTAAAGCGCCTTAGGATGCCCAACATTTTTATTGTACAAAGGAAACACTGCTCGACGCGTTTATTTTTGTCGTAGACGTAAACATGTGTACGTATCACTTTTTGAAATACGCTGGCTCTCGTTGTGAAGAGGCTTCGCGTACTGCGATGGAACAAAATCTTTGGCTTTGGCGCAACAATAAACTTAAGACACGACGTAGAAACAAATCGATTTTGTAAAAGGTCTACCTTGCGTTGTTTGCGCCCTCTTGCACGCTGATTTTCACCGATTTAAAAACTACTTTTCATAACGATATTACTAATTTTAAGGAAAAAGACTTTGAAAGCATATCATGAATTCAAAGCGATTGACGTTTGTAAGTACTTTTATCATCAATGTGCAATTGTTTATATCGATGTAAATAATCTCTCGTTGTTCCTAATTGCGGAAAAGTAAAATGTGATTACTCACGAGTCCGTTCCTGTTTTGTACCTTCTACGATTGTACCTACTAATTTCTCTATGCACATAAAGATTCGATAAGCATCACTGTGATTTTATTAAACGACTAATCCCAGATCATTTTACATTATCGTTGTAACTTAAATCGTTTGTATGGAAACTTATGGAGACTTGTGACATTCTGTAATAATATCATCCCATTGAAGTAACGTGATTACTTTGAGAAACGAATTTCCGAAGGGAGCTGGGTTAAAAATAGAGTCGAAAGGTTTCTTGTTGATGGGGTCGATATGATTTATTTTAAAATAATTAACAATCTTTAGGATGTAAAACTTTCTCGTCATGCACCTCCCGCCCGCAGAATCGAACTTCCGATGAGTTTTTATAATTATATGTATACGATAGATATGTATACTATTCACAAGACGTCGCTATCGTAGATTAATAAAATTCGTACAAAATCGTGTATGTAACAAAAACAGCTTTTAGGTACGCTAAGTCTTCAACATACGCATTCCTCATCATTCGAAAAAAATCGCCGAAGGCGCAAATTTTGGAAAAAAAAGAAAAAAAAGGAGTAGAGAGATTCTTTCGATTAGCTGCACCTAGCGTGTCAACTAACGTTGCTCGCAAGTATCATTGCGTTTCTTTACAATGGATGAAAGACGCTCGATCTACAAACACACGCACACACACACGCACGCACACACATACAGTCACGCGCAGCAAACGTACGCACCCCGCAAAGTGATTGTCTACCATTATCATGCACGCTGTTCGTAAGTGCTAACGATCTATTAAAATAAGATTTATCTACAGATTTTGTATGCTAGTATTGGCCATCTACATGTTTTTGATCGATTAATCTCATTCGTTGTGACTTCTTATCGTTAAAGAAACATGGTTTCGCTCCTCCGTATCACAATGCACACGCCAGCACGCCATTCGTTGCTCTATGCTAACAGAAGTGGCAAATTTATGATGACACGAGAAGTACTCTTAACTACGTTGGCACGCATGAGAAGGACTGGTTGTACAAAAATACGGTACAAAGATCTATCTACAAGTAAATCGGCTTACAAAAATATTTCGGAATCTTCAATACAAAGATGTTGTCTGTCCGCTGCGACGATAAAGATCTTGAAATTTAACATGCGAATTTTAGCGTCTCGAAGAAATTTCGATTAAACATCATCCCCATTCCAATTAAATACATTCCACCGAAAGGAAAAAACAGTAAATTGCGCGTATTCGTAAGGCACCTCGATGCTCCTTCAATTTTTGTACAAATATTAAACTTTCTAAACAACACAGCGTTAACATCGATAACACGTTCGAGTTGTCTCGCAGCAACACGGTATCACTTCGACTATGATTAATCACCGAGCATGTCATCCATGTGAGGTCAAAATCTACAATTCCGCTAAGTTAATTTAAGTGACGGTTACAGTTACATTGGGCCCTTAACATTACCATAGAAAATACAATATTTATCAAAAATACAAAAGTGTAGATAGCTCGATATTTCTTTCCGGTAAATTCTGTTTAGTAGGGTATGCAACCTTGAGAGAGAGAGAGAGAGAGAGAGAGAGAGAGAGAGCCTGAATCATAATTAATATTATCTACAATTGGTGAATTTTAAATTTTTTTCTTCACCTACGAATAATCGACAAAGTGCCAAGATTTTAATAGAAAATGTTAAGCAACATCTTCGCGCTGGTCTCATGATTTCTTTACAATTTATGATTACAAAGTAATAGAGCTGTGCAACATTGTCTAACTTCATGTCCGGCGGAACATCGTCAACTTGGATTCGCTGTAGCGTATGTCTTTCTCAGGAACAAAACTTCCGTCTTCAAAGAGGTATCACGCTACATTGTAAGTAGTTTTATCAAGAATAAGGTGTAAAAAGCTCCGAGTTAACATTTGTTAGCATACGACGTGCAGTTATTTTCAATGTACAAGCTTCGAGCTGACAAAATTCTTTGATTTTCAGAAAACTCTACTACCACAGTATTTTAGAAAATTTTGTAAGCTTACAAGGCACCATACCCTCCCAAGTTCGCTTAGCCGACCAGAAGAATAATAGTATAAAAATATGTAGGCTTTTACCATTTATTGTATCATCTGCAAGTATCTGTTCTCCTCGAGCAACGAGCTCAGGGAGGAGGACATGTCGTTGACGACCATGTTAGCACTAGTCGGCAGTGGTTGTGGCAACGACATCGGATGAGTTGAGCTGGAGACATTGGTTTCGTGAGTGCTCGCGCTTTCTGACCAGTTTCTACACTGTTGCACGTACTCCAGTGTCCTTCTGTAAGAATCTTGCCTCATCCCCAAAGGAGGCTTTATGGGGGTTCCCTGTTGCGATTGGCTGATGTCCCTGCATTGAATTTCGGGGATGGTGGCACCAGGATGATCATGGTAGCAATGATCACCGCCGTAGTTCCACTGGCAGCTGCAGGTATACTGTTGGTGAGTCGGCGTGTTGGTGCGGGCCTGGCAATTGCAAGTTTGCTGTTGTATTCTGCAGTTGTTCGGCTGAGCGGTGCACAGCTGCGGAGACATTCTCTTCAGTATAGCGTTGTCCACGGCTGATCGGTGGGAGCCGTTAGAATGCGAGCAATTGGTCATTTGCATGCAAGGAGACACTGGCTGTGGCGGTGCTGGCTGTTGGCATCCTTGAAGGCCGGTCATGTTCGCCACCTGTTTGGTTTGATTGTTCACGCTCAGCTGGGAGCAGGGACTCGCCATTTGAGGACACTGATTTGGTACCGTGGTCTGCTGGGCGGAATGCAGATTGGACACTTGACCATTCGGTGTTAACACTGGTCTGGTACACTGACTGTTCTGTCCGCATTGCGAGTTTGAATGGTTCACACCGGCTTGATTATGCATGGCAGTCTGTTGATTACAGTGCATTGCTATCTGCTGGCAATTCGCGGTTGATCGCATCTGAGCACACTGCTGTGGAGTCATAGTACCATGATTCGGGGGTGCGCAGGATGGACTCGTGTGATGGTTCATGTGGCTGTTGGGGTTTCCGGGGCAACTCGCGTTCATCTGACCCTGGCAACCGTATCCAGGATAGTAGCCATGATGCACGTGATTTTGCGGGCAGTTCCTCGTCAATTGTGCAGAATTCTGAGGAAGATTCTGCGGAGCGTGTTGCGGTGCCAGAGCACCGGCTGCTGGCGACGTTAGCGGTTGATCGCTTATGTGGCTGGGAGCATAATGAGATCCAGGTGACATGACTTGACCCACTGCTGGACTAAGCACTTGGCCGTTCGGCTGTGACGGGTAGCTGGGTGCGGGACAGTATTGCGAATTAGCTGGCGCAGGTCTGGAACTAGGACACTGATTGTAAGGCGAAGGGGAGGTGTTCTGGTAATTAGTGCAAGTTGACTGTGCAGATGATTGCTGGGCATAACAGTGCTGCTGGTGAGACTGATTGTAGTTGCAGGTGGGTGGAACTTGGCGTTGACAGTGCATGGGATTACTGCACACTGGCGACTGGCAGACTGGAAGAGGACTGCTACGGTAGCTAATCTGGCTTCCACCTGTCTGAACCTGAAAAGTTAATAATATTTATATACACATTTTATTGTATGAATTATCGTTACATTATAGGTATTTATGGAAAATAAACATTTTCTCTGACGCTTTCCGATAACTTTTACTTGCATAATATCTGCAGTCTATTTATATGTATAGTCTAACTAACTTGTATAGTCTAATTCGTAAACCGTAAATAAATTTTACCTGGTTCAAATACTGCATCATCTCATCTGGAATGACCAACTTGTTCTCCACCATTTCGCCCTCTCCGACTTCATCTAAAATTACTTCTTGATTAGGATGACGCTCCGGGAATTGGGCAGATCTAGGTCTGGGTGGCACAACCGGTGAGTTTCTTTGAGTTTGTTGTCCCCTAGCTGGCTCGGACATACGACGGTCACCAGAAGGTTGCGTACAGTGGCTGGTAGGACCGGTCCACTCGCCGGTTACTCCGTGAAGGCCCTGCAAATTAATCGAAGCAAATTTCTACCACGTTCTTACAAGTGAAACAATTAAGAAACGGACGCTTCGCTAAACGCTCGTCATATTACCTGCAGAGACATGTTCTGCGTCTGAACAACAAGATTGCTCGTCGAGTACGGTCCTTGGAGGTGACTGGGTGCGTTCATTCTACCAGAAGCGGTGCTTAACTGGCTGCTTCTCCTCGACGTGCCTGGACTGATAGGATCGTAGAAACTCCCTGGGCCGACGTGGGTCATTCTAACGGCGCTAACGCCACTGGCCTGACTACTTCTTCGGCTACCAAAGTCCGTGGATTTCATGCTACCATAGTATGTGCTGACGGTGGTGTTGCTATCCCTTCTCGGCTCATTCAAAGGTTGTAGCCTAAGCTGAAGGTCTGACAGGCTCGTCTGGCGAGCAGAACCTCCGCTCTCCATTTTTAGGTCAGTGATCCTTCTATTCAGGTCACCGATGTTACCTTGAGGACCCACGCCACGTGTTCCTCTTAACCCAGACACGACAGGCAGACTGGACAAACCCTTGGCCTGCAATCTTCCTTTTAGACGATTCCTCGACGCGGGCGCTGGCGCCTGTTGCTGTTGCTGCGACTCCATGCCACCAACCTACACGCAATTTTTCATTACATTATTCAATTAATCATTACACACATTTAGAACTTCCTATAAGCTGAGAATTTGTCGATCTTTTTAATCTTGCCGGTAAAGGAAAGACTGGCTAAGCGAATCCGAACATTACGATATTTACAGCTATCAAAACTATTTGTTGATTCCTCAGTGTTAAAGAAGTGCAAACAGCACTAAAAGTAAAAGGGGAGAACCATATTTGACGATATTAGAGCTACCAGTATAGATTAAATCTCAAGGTTAGTGCATTTCTTAATAAGTAATCTAGCTAATCGAGCTTAGATACTTGTGGAAACAGAAATATTTTAAGTACCTCCAACTAATGAAACTTCGAAACTCACCATAGCACGGAGGGCAACCGGCAAATCAGCAATGTCTAGATCATCGGGTTCTTCGTTCCAAGGTTCCTCAGCGAGTGCGACACCCTCGCCCGTCAATGCACTGGCTCCTGCAACCTCATCGTTGCAGCCACCCATCAACGGGCTACCCTGTTGTTGCATCATGCTGGGTGGACTGTTAGCTTCGCTCTCGGATTTCACGCTGGGGCTCGACAAACTTGGCGTCTTCGGATGAAGGTCCTCGCTTCTGCTGGGACTGTTTCCACCAGCACCAGCTTCGTCGCTTCCACCGCCGTCTCCGCCGCCGCCTTTGTGCTTCTTGTTGGCGTAGAATTCTGCACCGTGCACCGTTTTCACGTGTTTCCTTAAGGACGATGGATCGGTGTACCTTTTCGTGCAGCCCGGTGCTTTGCAGACATAAGGTTTCTGTGAAATTAATAAGGTAGCGATTAGTTTAAAGTAGACTGCAGTTCTTTCAGCAAACTGCACATTTAAATGTAATATATTGACATTAATAAATGACACGAATAAACAACTTTATCGTTTCTACTCTTATAAAGTTGAATCTACTCAATTTTTTTCATGAATGAACAAAATACAAAGTCTACTTATATTTCTGCTTATGTTATCTACTGTCCTCTCAATTATTTCAGTTTAGATTTCTTTACAGTCCAATTTTTCTTCTGAGTTTTTAGAATATTTAAATATTATAGCTTCCTGAAGCATAATTTTCGAGACTGTAAAAATGATCTCTGCTCTAAGGGTTTTATTACTTACCTCGTTGGAATGAGTCCTATTCTGATGCTTGGCACGGTCGCTGGCGTTGCTGAACGCCTTACTGCATCCGGGGTACTCGCAGGTGTAAGGCTTTTCTCCAGTATGAGACCTTAAGTGCGTTTTCAAGTTCTCTAGTCGCGAGTAGGCTTTAAAACAGCCCTCAAACTGTAACCAGACATTGGAATATTAGTTTTAGTTGTTGTAGAGCGAGACATCTATTTAGAATTGTAGACACTTACGGTGCACTTGTGAGGCTTTTCACCAGTGTGTCTTCTCATGTGCACTACCAACATATATTGAGCTTTGAAAGGCTTTTCTTCCCTCGAGCACTCTTCCCAGCCGCAAACGAAGCTCTTTTTATTCGCATGGATGTGATCGTTATTGATGTGTTTCACTAGATCGTCCTGGAAAATTGAAGAAACGTATTAATAAAGATTGAAGAGAATATACAACGATATTGAGAATAGGAAACAGTTTTGACTATTGTCAAAACTATCATCCTTTCGTCGTCAAATTGTCGTCGAATAAAATTTCATTCTTCGAAAACACATAATGTAGTAACGTTGTAACAAATAATACAGACTATATTTTTATTTTGTCTGCCATGAGCACCTAATATTTAAAAACCAGATCGTAATCACTGCACTGCCGATGCTCGTTGTAAAATAAAAATTGTTCTTATTAATTACAATTTTAATAAACTAAATGCTTTCGCGTACCACTTATTCATTATTTCAAGTACATGTGTATAATCAGCAATCCGGTAATGGCAAAAGCAGGACACATTTAACTCGCACGGAATTACTTGTTCGCTAAGATCATGTTTCGTGATTCACGTAAGCGAATAGCTGTCACCTGTCATTATTTAAAAATTGCAACGGCATTCACCTGAGTTGGAAATTCGAGGCCGCAGTCCCGCCAATGACAATTAGTCTCGATGAAATCACCGGGTTCGTCCCGAAGATCCTCGCTGGGACTAAGTCCCTGCGGATGAGTCGGTGGAGCGGTGGTGGTCGTTGAATTCGTGGTCGTGGTCGCTGGTTCTCTCTTCACCTTGGCAGAGGCTCTCCTCGAGGACGTGTCGGCCTCTGCTGTGACCGACCTGGTCGATGATTCTGAAGCTTTCCTGCATGATTCTGCGCTCTGCGAATAGACAATTAACCAACATTAGTATTTTAGGAACTAACTATTGGTAATTAACTTTTAAAAGATTTGTGCTCTGTTTTTATTCCAAGTTTCAAGATATTCCGGGGATAATGCAACATTTTTCATATTTTTGGAACATGTAGTTCCGTAAAATCTGTATATTTTCCTTCATTTTCTTCGATCAATCGTATATAAAAATGTAAATAACATGATTACTTTTTGTGCTTCATTTTTCAAAAATTTGAAATTCGCAATACGTTGTGGGATGACCCGACAACGATGATCGTCGAGAATTTCCCTGCTGAAACGAGACAATTTTTGTCTTCTTTTATGCGTTCATTTCCAGATTTTCGTAAGAGAAGAGTCAAATTTTGTTTCAATTGAAAAAAGTTCACATTTGATAGATCATGTATGTCATCTTTATCACGCGTCCGACTCGTTTCGGTGATAGGAGTTAATTGCAAGAGATAGAAATCTATAATAATTAGTTTAATCGTTCGAACTGTTCACATGTACTGCACGAAATCCGTGCAGTCTACTTATTACTTTAAAACATACTACTGTGATCAAAAAGTAAGGTGAAATTGTCATTTAAAACTCCCGGACATTAGGAAGGCAGGCAATTGTTTTTTTCCTAGGTTGGTAGGACTGTCTATAACAATTGCCAAGCGTCTGTTTGTTAAAAGGTTTAATTATCTCCGAGTTACACATGTTTTAGTAAACGACCAAAAGTGAATTTTTCGATTTTTACAATGAGTGATTTTGTTGAGCAAAGAACTTGCATCAAATTTTGTTTGCGGAACGAATATTCTTGTGCGGACACGTTGAAAATGTTGCGGAAGGCCTTTGGCGATCAAACTATGGCACAGAAAAACGTTTATAAGTGGTACAACGAGTTCAAAGCGGGCCGAGAACGCGTTGAAGACGAACCGCGCTCTGGACGACCATCAACGTCTACCGACGAGGGCCACGTCCAAAAAAATCGAAGATTTGGTGCTTGAAAATCGTCGACTGACAATGAGAGACCTCGCTGATAGTGTTGGAATATCATTTGGCTCAGTCCAAACCATTTTGAAGGATGATTTGTGTCTCAAACGCGTCAAGTCTCGATTGGTGCCATGTCATACTGCATTGGTTCTTCGCGACTTTTTTGCCAAAAACTCGACTCATATCGTTCCGCAACCACCGTATTCGCCTGATTTGGCTCCGTGCGACTTCTGGTTATTCAGCAAACTCAAAAAGCCAATGCGGGGACGCCGTTTTGACACGATTGAGGAGATAAAAACCGAATCGAAGAAGGTCTTGAAGGCTATACCGGAAAAAGACTATTCCGACTGTTTCGAGGACTGGAAAAAGCGTCGGAAACAGTGCGTTTTATCGGACGGGGATTACTTTGAAGGGGATGAAATTGATTTGGAAGAATAAATAAAGAATTTACATTTTATAAACAAATTCACCTTACTTTTTGATCACAGTAGTACGAAGTACAGAAATACACGCGCAAAGCGTGTTACACTTTTCTCCAGCATCGTAGCGACCGTTCTCGATCGCAACGAGCGACGCGTGTCAAATGCCGATTTACCCGCGGGCAATTAGGAAGTCGCGTGACCGGATCGGCAGCGAGTTGCCCCGAGTATTAATATCATCGGGAGATTCGGACAGGAATATCGGCAATCTTCGACACCGGGATTTTCTAAAACAAACACGTCGCTCGTGCGCCAGGGCAGGAAGCCCGTGCCGTGACACACGATCTGCACGCGATCTAGCAATTATCGCGCACCGTATAAGTACGGCGCGCCGATTCCGTCGATCGGTCGATCGATCGATCGAACTACGCGGGACCGTTTACCGGCTCTCCGAAGCGAGGGCGAGCATGATCGCTGATATAGACATAACTCGGAATATTTCCGTTTAGATCGTGGCCCACGGATCTCGTGCGCTACGAGCGAAACTGATTGTGAGACCGCGGGTGGCGGGACTTGACAAACGAGGAACATGCGGCGGCCGGTACCGTCCGTCTCGGTATTTTCAACTTATTTGATACGCGCTTCGCTGGATCACGGAGGGGAGAACATCGCTGCGAAGGTGAAGAGTACACTCGTCGGGATATAATTCCGGAACGATTTCGTCAAGGCGAATGTAAACGCGAGAGCGAGATCATTTTATTTATGACTGATTTGCTCGTTTTTCGGACCTTTATACGTTTTGATCGCTCGATGCGTCGGCTTTGGGTTTAAATTAAGGTCCTGGAAGTATTGTATTGCTTATATCTTCATCCTTTTGTTATAATCATAAAATTAAGAAAGAAACGAGTACTATACATAGAGGATGACCTGTAATTATGTTAACACCGGGAAATGGATGATTCCTGATGTCATTTAAAGTAACTTTTTCCTTAGCGAAAATGCAATCTGCGGCTTTGTTTAAGAGTTATTAACGAAAAACATTGACCAATGAGAGACGAACTCAGCTGGCGCAAAGCGGCCGAGCCAACGAGCGGTTGCAGTCCGGTTCCGTTGATTGGCTCGGCCGCCTAGCGTTAGGCATGCTCGCCTCTCATTGGTCAGTATTTTTCGTTAATAACTCGTAAACGAAGCCACGGATTGCATTTTCGCTGAGGAAAAGGTTACTTCAAATTACCTCAGGAATCGCCTCTTCCGGGTGTTAACATAATTATGGGTTACCCTGTAAGGGAATAGTAGAAACGTATCAAGTTTTTTTCTTAACTTTTGCCGATAAGTATATGTATATTCCAATTGTTGAAATTTTAGCCTCGAACAAAAATTAATCTATAGTTTACTTAGTACTAAGATACTAAGATATCGGTTTACATTTTCGTCGGTTCCGTCAGCGGGCAACGACGGTGATGTAAACTGTATATAATAGATACCGCGATACATCATCACCGGTACCATTAGATACACATCGTGCCCTGACTGTTTGGGGATCCCAGCGTCACGTATACAATGTGAAACGCGACAAATAAACGTCTCTGATTGGTGGATAAGACGAACCCAAAAAGGGTATAAAAGAAGCGTTTTTTCTTACCGGACTCTCAGTAGAGTTTGGTCGCTCGATCGTTTTCGCCCATGTACCTTCTCTCAATAAAGGAATAAAATAAAGTCTTTTTAAGAAAAGAATTAGAATCATATTCATTTTCATTCCATAATCCCAACATCAATCAACTGGATTCGATCAGAATTTTTAGAATCCGATAGAGTTCTAATATCATTCTTTACAATAAATTTTAACTTTCCATTTTCGGATGCATTCATCAAAATTCCCTTGATTTTGTGCGAACTTTCGTGATCGATATTCACCATTCGGCTTGTTAAATAGCGACATCCATACCGAAGAGTACTGCGATCTTTAGAGCAGTAAATGCATAATAAAAGATACCTAATCTGATAAAGCCTGCAACGACAACGCCGTAACTTGCCAGAGAACCGAGCCCGATCCAACTAAACCCGATGTAAACCGTCCACGGGATTTTCTCCATTTGAACCGCTCGATTCCGTATACCTATAAATCCATCGATCACCGTTGGAAGCGAGCAGGCGCACAGGATCGGCGAGCCGAGAGACCGAGGCGGCGACGGCGAGAGCGCGGCGATCGAAATGCAGGCAAACGCAGGCGAATGCAATCAGCCGGCGAATGCAACAGCGTCCGGACACGGGGCGCAGTCGTGTCGCGGCGGAAGAGAATGAAAACGCCGCCGCGTATCTAAATAAATCAGAGCAGGCCCGAGAAGCCATCGTCCTGGGTCAAGCAGGAGAGAAACGGGCGAAGAAGGACGAGGAAAGACGCGACGGAACGAGATTCAAAACGACGTTGGGAAGAAAAGGGGAGAAGAAAAGGAGGATTGAAAGAAGAAAGAACGGGACGAAAGAGACGGTGGAAGAAGGAAGGAAAGAGGAGAAGAACTCGAAGCGAAGAAAAAGAACGAAGGACGATGTCAGGTGGAGGGATGGGGGTGGAATCTGGCGAAATAATGTGTGCGAGATTGCTTGTAACCCGAGGACCATGCCAGGGTAACCTAATCTTTTTCTCTTTCTCCCTTCTCTCTCTGGCCTTCTCCTCTCACGTGCTACGTGGATGATGAAGCTGAGGAGTCTGGGTGGAGGGACAGGGGGTACCGAAAACCGCGAGAATGATCATTTGTTCGGAATGAATCGATAATGGGCTACCGTTATAGAACGTGTTCTGTTTTCTTGTTGGGAATAGCAATCGGACAAACACCTGTACGTTGCATGATTCTATATGGCGTATCATGCGAGATTCTTTCATTAAGATTACTTCTTAGTATCGTTAATTACAGTTGTACTATTTATATGTATTAAGTTAGGTACTATTTATAAGTATTATGTTATTAAGTTAGGTGTCATGTTATTAAATAATCTGTTGCATCAAAGGTAATGGTAAATGATTATACACTTTGTACACCTAACAATTTATGTATTCTGCATGCAACCGAATGTATTTATGTTAAAATTACAACTAACAGTTTATATGTGGCCTTTATAAGTATTATATTATATTCTTGTGTGTCGTATTTCTGCATATTATTTCTGTGTAATATTTTTCTACGATATTTCTGTATAATATTTTGCGTAATCTTGTTTTCCTCTGACTTTGTCGAAAATAGTTACGCATTTGAGCAAGGTATACAAGACAAAATGGAGACACACACACACACAGTTCCACATTCGTAGTACAAGATATATTGAAATATGAACTACAGCAAAGTATAGTAAATTCTCCCCAATTTTCCTTCAGCTTGTAGACAAAAATTAACAATTTGGGAAAAGTAGATACGATTATTCGAGCCTTGCACCTCGTTTTCATAACTGTTGACAATCGGCAACTACAAAAATGAGTCGCGAGACTCGAATAATCGTATCTCGTCTTCCAAAATTGTCCATTTTTTATTAGAAGCTGAAGAAAAATTGGGGAGAATTTACTGTACAATTTGGTTTGATCAATTTGGTAGAGCATTGGACTAACCTCAGATTTTGGTGGTAGGCCTCCATGTGGTCCCAAAGTTGCAGAAGCAGTGGAATGCGGTGGTACACCGGGGTACAGTTGCGAATGGGGTGACAGACCGTGGGCATGTGGGTGCGGGTGAGGAGGTGGTGGAGGAGGAGCTGGTGGTTGTAAGGGATGAGCATGGGGTAGCAGCGCCGCAGCAGCAGCACTCCTGAGGAGATGAGCCTGGAGTTGCTGTAAATGCGGCGCCATTCCCGGGTGCATACCTAGCGTTGGACTCATTGCTGCAACAGAAGATCATACAATGTTTTAATAAAGTATTCAAAATATTACTTAACATAGGAACAAAACAATAATATAGGTTAGCAAAATGATTGCGACGTAATAAAGTCCGTAAATTAGGTTCTACATCTATTATACTTCGCAATATGGAAGAAAACTGTTTCGCGCGCATCGTACAAAATGTGTAACACTTAGATTAATTTTAATCCCTCGGTGCTCAAAACATCGCAAATTTTACTACAAACAAAACAATAACATAGACAAGACAAAGTTATTATGACATAAAATAACGTGGAAAACATGTAGCATTTCGGTCGATGTTAATCCTTAAGTACACAAATCGTTATAAATTTTAATACGTGCCAAACAAAAATATGAACAAGACAAAATTATTACGACGTAAAATAATCATTCTTTACAATGTACAAAATGTGCAGCACTTTGATTGATTTCAGTCCGTAATTGTATAAAAAGCTAAAAATTTTAATAGGTATCAAATCGTAATATGGACGAGACAAAATTATTATGACATAAAATAATAATTCTTTCCACCCTACAGAATACACTGATTGTGTATTCCGTAGCACTGGTTAATATCTGATCAAAGGCTCAAAAGCTACTGACTAATGACAACAGAAAGTTCAAGTGTGCTATTATTTCGCCCCTTGCGTTTACACGTTATTTCGACGAACTACGAATATCAGTGAGAACGATCTTGTTTTCTAACATGTTCCTTCCAATTTCATGTAGTTTTCGAGAAATTAGAGTCCAGAAGTGTATGTAGTACCTTGGTAATTAATTTATTAAGAAGTGCTCGCGTATATAAGTTTTGTTTTACAAGTACGAATTGCAGCGTCCCGTGAATACGAAGGGAAGGTGTGAATTCGTAGATAAAGAATCGCAATAAAATTACAGCTCTACATTAGAAGAACGGCCAACGCTGTAACGTAAGCAAATAATTACACTGGATAATTAACGACAGTATAAAATACCGATAGCATCGTTTCTGCTTTGTATCCATCAACAACTCGCCACCCGAATGGAAAGTCCAGGCCGCGCTTTCCGACGATTAATCTCGAGGAAACGTACCGCGGGAGATCGAATAACGATACCGTTACGATACACGGTAAAAACGTTCCCGCGCAAATTATTCAATCGCCGAAGATTTCTTCCGGTGATACCGTTGTCGAGGTAGGAGAAGTGGGAACGGCAAACGTGCGGTCGTAGCATTGCATTTAATAGTTAACACCGGCGGAGACGGGGGTGGCAATACGAGGATAATCGATAGAGATCGAAATCGGACCGCGTCCATTCTCTTGACAGTCGCAACACGGCACGCCGGACTTCCGGCACGTAGCCTAAGCTTGCATTTCAATGCTAAAGCCCTCTCTTACGAAACCGTGAAGCTATAGCGATCGTGTTAACCGCAGCTGTCTCGGGAACATGCTGCGTTGTCTATACGATGAAAATAAAGAGACTAATTTTCTTTGCAGTTTTTTCGAAATTAGCGAATCTATTTAAGAACCCTTGACCTAATTAAAACAAATATTAAGAGAGTCGTTAGGATCACGATCCTTATAAGTGGATTGTGAAATCGTTAGGCGAATTTCTGTTCTCGTGCGTTATTTTATAAAGATATTAACAGCGAGTAACAATATATTTTATTTATTTATTTATTAATGCTTTAAGTTGAGTAAAGTGTGTCTTGTACGTAAAACATAAAGAGAATGCTGTTGACTTATTATTAATATTATTAATGCATAAATGCATAAAAATCCGTAAATTTTGTCAATTTTGCAGATTAAAATGGTTTCTAAACTTTGTCAGTATACTATCTTAAATATCGTTTTCGTTGTTCAGCATTAACCGTAGTCATTAACATAAGATAAAAACTATAGATTCATTGGAAAGTCGTAATGAAAATGGCTTCTCTTTATAGCCCAAACAAAATTTTAACAATGATGAATTTAGAATTACGATAATATTCGAATCGATTGACCCTATAAAGAAGTGTGAAGTATGTTTGTAATAAATAATGTTATTTGCAGAGAATTTCTTACAATAATTCCAGGGTTGTGCCACACGAGGTGAAGTGTCTCGCTATATAAAATGAATGTCTCGATTACTATCGCTATTCAGCCAACCAATATGTTCATTACAGCCTATCAGAAATTTTTACGATATTATAGTTCCACTGCAACATATATCCATAGAGAGTCACCGATGATGCAGGTTAATTGAATTACACTTGCAAGCATTCGAACAGCAGAATCTGTACCTACTATTTATTCATAAGAAGCGACGAATGCGTGGCGCCTATAAATAGAAATAAAGAAGGGAATGATACAACGGTCAGTTAACCGTGCTAGCCCGCACGCGTCAATACAGCATAAATGTTATCCAAGCTAATTTATAGAGCGGCGATAGGGACGGTGTCAGTAGAGGCCTGAATTAGAAGGAAACGCGATTAGAAGGCCTGTCACGTATCGCACCGACAAGACCATATTGAACCGTGATTAATTTAGCCGCAGCAATTTATCGAGCAGCCTCATGCCCGCGCCTTGTATTAATATATTATCGCGTCTCAGGCCACTGTTGTTAAATAGCAGCTTGCCGCGTTTCGATTCTATCGGGCCGCGCCAATTTGTAGCGTCGAAACGACGATCAAGCAGGGTGAGTTCAACGCACGGGGAAGCGATGACGCTGTCATCGTTGTAACGTTTCGTTGTAACTAACGACGCGACGATCTCAATTAAACGCTGATAACAATCGATTCAAATTACCCGGAACAGTCTGTCGATTGTTTACAAATTGCCGCTCCTCAGCCACGATGGTTGACTTTCATAATTTCCCGGATAAAAATCAACGAAAAGATTGTATCATCCATTTAGATCTCCCGTCGTTTTTTATTATAATATATGCTTGGGTTAAGAAATTTTTATCCCACATATGGTTGCGGAAGAGTTTTTATAATTTCAACAACTTTAGTAAAGAAAATTTGAAATCTATCATTTTGAACGGCTCGATAAGTTTAGTCAAAATCTTATAAACAAATTGAACTTTTTATCGAGTGATAATGTTAATCATTATTTACGACATCGTCGATGTATAATTTCATACATTCTTTGATTATTATTGGCCTTTTATCGAATATCCAATTTTTGTCAACTTTCCGCCGCACTTTGAAGAGTGTAACTCGTGATGGTGATTTCTAATAATAACCTGCGAAGTATAAATGTTATTCCGTTCTTTTCAGTCATTCTGAAATTTTATTCTTTCAACAGCATTCAAGCATGTAATTGTAGGCATAGAATAGATATAAATTATCTTCTCCATTGAAGAAATTATTGCAATCGAGGAAGTTCTAATCATTGCGATTATGAAGAAAATAGTAGGTCAAGGTTAAATTAAGGGGTTAGAAATGTCATTCTAACTTAAAAGTTTAAGAAGAATAGGATAGATTTTGTTAAAACGATGTGAAAAAACGTCAAGAAAAAAGGATTTCGTTAAAGGACAATTAAAGTAATCTATTTTTCTTTAATTTAAAATTAAAGGCATTAAAGTAATCCTGTCGACTCTGTTGGAACCGATATAAAAATGAATACGCTAGAAATGTGACAGAAAAAGTTTCGTACTATATGTAGTTTCATGATTTTAGCGGATTTTAGCGGATTTTATTCACACTATTTTCAACTTATTGAAGTTATTAAAAGATACAATTTATTTTCAATTAATTGCTTTTTACAGTGGTCTTGGAAAATCGTGAATTTGTACGAGAAGGCCCGCAGTCGATTCACGATAGAAAACTCCAAAGTTTTATTTTAAATATTGCGTTCTGCATTAGAATACTATTGGAAACCAATACGCCGACCACTTGGTACAAGTCGTCGGGACGCAGACTTCTTTTCTGATGAATCCGAGACCGATCTTTCCCATATTATCGGATGCTTAACAGTCGACGAAGGTACAGTCGACGATGCAATCAAGCCCCATTCAGGGTGCCACCACGTACGTGCGCCGAAGTAAGTACTTAGGCGAGCAGTCACGCCCATGTGTCACAATGGTCTAGTCGGTGCCTCATAAAAGCAAGCACGTTGCGTGCCTGGGGATGCTTAACGATTAGAACGAGCGTGGCGTCTCGTTTCGAAACTTTGTACTACCGGCGATTGTCACGCGATCCGCGAATCCCCGATCGCATTAATTCCGCGGCATTCTATAACCCGACTATCGGTTGCAAACGAGCCGATAATTGCAGCCACGCGGATCGTATAACCGAATGGAAACATCAACCAATTCCGCGAACGGGTCTTATCGATGGCTGGAAATTACAAGGGCTACCGGTTCTCGCGATTGCGACGATGCTTCCCCGCCATCCGGCCAACGAGTTTACGTTCTATTCTTCGGGGACGACGAAAAAATCGCGTTTTACGCTCGAGATCGCGATACGTCGCGGCGCGACGCGACCGTGGCTACGTACATACATACATGTACATTTCTCGCGGCGCGGCGGCGCATTGATCGCTCGTCGCGATTCAAAACGAACATAAACCGCGGCATGCTCGAAGCGCACGCCTACGATGCTTTATTTAAGAACACTATAATTTTCCGGAATCGATCGTACGTTACCCAGGAAACCGGCTATCTGCTCGTATACCGGACGATAATCGCTTAATCACCGTCAAGACTTTCTTTGTGCATCACCGCCGATGACGTATGAAAAATTTAATAAAGCGCGCTGCACGCTGCAGGAAATCTCTTTGGTTTACGATGTGTGGGCTTGTTGGCAATAATGCCGGTTTCCACGCGAGGATCATTCAGCCGCTCGTTGATTATTAATATTCTAAAATGCACTCCGATAGCCGGCGTGGAGGACTCGGGGAAATCTAAGGTGACATTAAATTCCCCGAGTTGGGAGACATCGATCGGCATTTTGTAATTCTTAGATCGATGAGTTTGTGTATGAGTATTTGAGGCTGTTGCTTCTTTATAGTTCGACGCTTGC